TAAATCTTCACTTTTCCAGTGGGAAGCCATTCCCTGTGTGCTGTCCCTCCATGCCTTGTCCCCAGTCCCTCTCCAGCTCTCCTGGAGCCCCTTCAGGCCCTGCCAGGGGCTCTCAGCTCTCCCTGGAGCCTTCTCTTCTCCAGGGGAACCCCCCCAGCTCTCCCAGCCTGGCTCCAGAGCAGAGGGGCTCCAGAATCCTGGAATGGGTTGGGTGGGAAGGAACCTTAAAGCCCACCCAGTGCCATCCCAGCCTGGCTCCAGAGCAGAGGGGCTCCAGCCCCAGGAGCATTTCCAGGGCCTCCTCTGGACTCTCTCCAGCAGCTCCATGTCAGGTCATGGCCAGGATATGAAACCCTCCTCCTGCAACTCCCACCTCTTGCTAGTAGAGCTCTGCACGTGGAAGGGAAGGAGGATCCTTCCATCCAGTAAAAATCCTGAAGGGAAGAAGCATCCCTGCATCCAGTAAAACCCTTGGTGTCAATTTTTCTGCCTCTACCAAGCTGGAAACGATTCTGAGTGCAAGAAAACAAAAGCACCAACTCGCAGTTTCTGGCAAATACAGTTGGTTTTCAACCTCACACGTACACAGGGATAAAACCAGCATCAAAGCACCTTGGGATGGGGAGAGAGGAGGGTAAACACGCGGAATATTTTGCAGGCTTTTAAAAAACAACAAAAAAAATAGCGTTATTTGTATGTAAACTCCCAGGAGAAGCAAGAAAAACAAAGCCCCGAAACCAGGAGCCGAAACTCGTTAAGGCACAAAAATCCAACACCCCCCCCCCCAGAGCCTTCCTGACAACACATCCCTGGAATCACGGGATTCACAGTCTGGGGGAGGGCCAAGGGGAGGTCAGAGATGTTCTAGGAGGCCCTGACCCAACGAGGAGTGGACACCACCACCTTTCTTGAGACAACCAGGTTCATTTCTTTCCCACAACTCCAGAAGCTTTTCGGAGGAAACGGCTCCCTCAGTTTTCCTACAGCTGTGGTTGTCCTGGGCTGTTTTCCCTGGAAGTGTCCAAGGCCAGGTTGAAAGGGGCTTGGAGCAACCTGGGCTAGTGGAAGGTTGCCCAAGTGCCCATCCACCATGGCAGAGGGTGGCACTGGATGACTTTTAAGCTCCTTTCCAACCCAAACCATTCCATGACCTTCCCCTCCACGAGGTAGTTTTGAAGACAGGACCAGCCCTTGGAAGATACCACCGCTCCAAGGAGGCCACCAGCCACTTCCAGCCTGGCCAGGGTTTATCCAAACAGCTGAACAACAGGAACAGTTGAGGAAAAGAATTTATATTTTAAACCTCTGAGCTCTCTGAGTGCAAAGAACCCCGGGTGTGAATGTCCTACCTCAGGTGAAGGTCCTCCGAGAACTTCAGGCAGGCATAGATGAATTCCTTGATCTGATTGTAAACTTTAGGCACAAACTCGGAGAAGGGGAACTTCTTTGGAAAGGGTTGCTGTAAAAAAACACAGGAGAGAATTCCATGCAAGAGCAGCCATCCACCAGGAGACAAACGACTGCTTTTCCAGCAGCGTGTTCCCAGCAGTCAGATCGATTCCAGGATTTAGCCAAAGAGACAACAAGGCATTTCTGGGGTGTTGGATAAACACTTCAGCCCAGTGAAAGGTCACAGAATCACTTACAAATGGAGTGCAGGAGGGGTTTGGAGCCTGGAAGGAGATTTGCAGCTCTGAGGGAGCAGGCAGAAAACAGGACCCTCATTTCCTCTCCCAAATCCCTCCCTTAGAGGAAAACACCCCCTGGGAGAACTCCCTGACGCTTCTCTCCCCCCATGCACGAGGTGTTTTGCTTGGTCACCTCCCCCAGGTGCTGCCCAAGGTGAGAATTTGCTTAAAACACCAAAACCCAACAGGAAACAGGTTTTCCTACCCCAAATTTCCCATCCAGCACTTCCTTGCAGCAGAGGGAGGTGCAGTGACACAGTCAGACCCTGGACCCCGTGACTTAATTTTGGGGGAAGGACAAAGACTTCCTGAAATCTGGATCAGACCCCCTCCAATTCCTAATGAAGTTCCCCAGGGATGGAGTTTCCTGGGTGCCAGAAGGCCAAGCAGGATTTAAGGGGCACTGGCTCCATCAGACTTGGATACACATCGGTTTTGGGAGCAGGTACTTGTAGAAAAGCCAAGATACACCACCCTGTTGGGCTCTTTTTCTTTAAATATGAGATTAAGACAAATAAAAGTCAAGAACATGGTTCATAAAATGGGAATAATACCAGTGCAAGTGGATATTTTTAGTCTCCTGTGCGTTGCAAGGACTGCTCAGCTGATTGCACACCCTGATATGAAAACAAAAGCATCTAGGTTTTCCTCATCCACACCCGGAGAAATGCAACACATGGAAGGGATATTTGCTCTGTTCCCTGGTGCTGCTTTCTTTTTTTGCTGTTTATTTGGTGTGGGGAGGTGGATTTGGGTGATTTTTGATGCTCCCATTTGCAGTTCTCCACATCCCTGCTGAGGGTGTGGGGTTTTCCTGCATCAGCGGCCACACGAGGCCGTTTTCCCCATTCCAAGACTCATTCCAAGACTCACCTTTTCAAGTTCAGCGTCCTGGAATGGGAACTGTCCAACTATTTTCTTATAAAGTTCTTCATTTGACACCGGGATGGGGCTGTAGTTGTCTGAGTCAAGTATATTTCTAGGAAAAGGAAAGAAAAGTCAGGAAGAAAGCTCTGGCAGGAGAGGACCCACAGCTCTGCCGGGTCAGGAAGCTCCCAGGAGGAGGTGCCAGTCCAAGATGGGATCCCACAAACCCACAGGAGCAGCACAGGGATGTGCCACTGATGTCCCGAGACACCCACAGCTTGGTGATGGAGCAAGGGCACAGTATCATGGAATCATGGAATGGTTTGGGTTGGGAGGGACCTTAAAGATCAT